TGTGTGTGTGTGTGTGTGTGTGTGTGTGTGTGAGTGTGTGTGAGGTTCTCATGAAGCACGAGCTGAACTACTTTTGAGTTTCTTCACAAACTCGGACACACTGTTAGTTAGTAGCTGGTGAATGTTGTGTTTTCTGAGCTGACGGATGGTTACGCACACGTTTGGCCTTGTGGGGGTTGAACCAGAGGTTTGTGAGATGATCGAGGAGAGTTACTGGAAACCCTCTGCTCTGGGGTGATTGACAGCTGCGGTGTCCAATCAGCACGCGGGAGCGCCGACTCGTGCGCTGTGATTGGTTAAGCGCCGCTCGGTGTGAAATGTTGTTCTGGTTTTGTGTAAAGGTCATGTTTCATGATCTCTAGTGCGAGTGATTTAACCAGTTTTCAGACTTTCGTGAATCTCACAAAACTGCCACGAAATGTAAGAGTCAAATGCTTTTTTTTTTTTACTTCATAACATTTAAACTGTTTTGCCTCAGCTAAAACATTGTTCATTTTCTTTAAGCACATTATAATTGTGACTTTAAAATAAAATACAGTATATTGCAAGTAAAGCATACTGTAGATGTTTTTTTCTTGCCGTTTTTGTATTGCTGTACAAAGAAAGTCTCATTCTCGTTAATGTAAAGGAAAAGATTTAGGCCTATTATTTAAATAACATTTTTATATCATAGTTTTATTATATTTTCTTTACTTTAAAAGAATCATTATAATACAGTAATGAGAATCATTAATGACAATTATTCAATGGTAAAACATCAAGATATGGTGGGAAAATATTCTCATTTGTCCTCAAAATAATGTCACAAATCCTAATAATCATCATAAGGCATTCTTCATTTTATTTATGCAGATTAAACGAGTGAAAAAAATGACCAAACGGTAATTAATAATGATTCAACTGTTAGACACACTGATGTATTTTGTTAGTGGAAATATGTCCTAAAAATGTGCTTATTTGTCATAAAAACGTCACAAATCCTTATGTTCATAAAACGGTGTTCCTATTCTCTATGCAAAATATAAAAAGTCCACAAAATAATAAAAATATATTTGTCAAAGCATGTTTTAGGTGTTTATCTAAAAGATAAAATAGACATTGTGCCTCAAATTCTCACTACAGCAATTTAAAACCTCATTCTCAATAATGTGAAGAAAGAAATATTAATTTTAATGCAAAAGTACATAATTGTCCTACAGTAATGAGAATCACCGGTGACCGTAACCCAACAGTAAAGCACTGTAATCTGCTTTAATTGTCATGTAAATAACGCCACAAATCCTAATGCTCATAAAACACTGTTCGGTTTCATTATAGGAGTTTCCTGCGGTGTGTGTTGATTGGTGAAGCGGTTCCCCCGGCCTGATCGATTAAAGCATGACTAACGATCTCTGTGTTTCTCCTCGGTCGCAGTAGATCTGGTTCTGCCGAAGTGCACGGCTCCATATGCCTCCATGAGTGACCCCTGACCCGTGAAGCCCCTCCCCTCCAGTCAGTCCCGTCCAATCGCGCGCTTCGCCATGGTTTGCCACGACAACGAAACTGTGAGTTTCTTCTACAACCTCAGCAAGAAGAGCATCAGCGACACGTGGAGGCCCAAAGACGTGGTGGTGGTGTCCCTGGGCCTGCTGGTCTGCGCCTTCGTCATCTTCGCCAACATCCTGGTCATGCTGGCCATCTTCATCAACCGCAGGTTCCACTACCCCATCTACTACCTGCTGGGGAACCTGGCGGCGGCCGACCTGTTCTCCGGCATCTCCTACCTGTACCTGATGTTCCACACGGGCCCCTGGACCAGCAAGCTCTCCATCCATGAGTGGTTTGTGCGGCAGGTGAGGCCCCTGGAGCTCTGGGTGTTCGGTGGAGAAACCCTGACTGGGTGTGTGATAGAAACCGCACTGAGATTCTGATGCCGGACACATTCACAGGAAGGGTTTATTTACAAAAAAAAAGTTAATTAAAAATTAGGATTGGGTATCGTTTAAACCAGGGGTGCCCAAACTCGGTCCTGGAGGGCCGGTGTCCTGCAGAGTTTAGCTCCAACTTGCCTCAACACACCTGCTGGTAAGTTTCTAGAATGCCTATAAGTGCTTGATTAGCTGGTTCAGGTGTGTTTAACTGGGGTTGGAGCTAAACTCTGCAGGACACCGGCCCTCCAGGACCGAGTTTGGGCACCCCTGGTTTAAACGATCAATTCTGATTCTGCTGATCGATTCCCTGTTTCGATTCCAACGTGGTTAAAGGGATAGTTCACCCAAAAATGACAATTCTGTCATTAATTACTCGCCCTCGTGTCGTTTCAAACCCGTAAGACCTTCGTTCATCTTCAGAACACAAATGAAGATATTTTTGATGAAATCCGCATAGACAGCAACGCAACTGAAATGTTCCCAAGTCCAGAAACGTAGCAAAGAAAATCTGTAAAATAATCCATGTGCCATCAGTGGTTCATCCGCAATTATACGAAGCTACGAGAATGCTTTTTGTGCACAAAAGCGCTTATATTTGTTGCATGTTCCCAGGTCAAATACATTAAGTCAGTATAAAGCAAGACAGGCAATCCGCCAAAAATAAAGGTTTTGTTTACCTTAAAGAAAATGCATTTCAATAAAAATGATAAACCTTTATTGTTCAGCACTTTATTTGACAAAAAAATTTAAAATAAGTTTTGTTGTGAAATAATTCTTGCTTTATTTTATTACATTTAAAAAGATAGATTAAATCGTTAAAAATACATGAATTAAATTATTTAGACACACACTTATGGGATGAAGTGTTCATATTCATGGGTTAAATACGTTTTAAGCCAGTATGAAGCAGGGCAGAAGAGCACCAAAATAAAAGTTTTGTCTAACTTGAAAAAATTTAATTTATATTTATTGATTAGCATTTTATTTTGGAAAAAGGGGAATAAAAATGCAATGCAATTTCAAAACATTAATTAAAACAATTTATGAATGAAATTATTTAGACGAGTTGAGGGAGGAAATGTTTATGTTCATTAAAATATTCCTGGGTTAAATGCATTTTAAAGTCGGCATGAAGCAGGACAGCTGGCTGATCAACAGGATGTGCTGCACTTCCTGTTTCCTGCAAGGAATTCTGGGAGAAGACCTGCTGTCTTGGCTGATAATCATGTAGAACCCGATGGTATCCGCAATGGGACTTCATTTGATAAAAACGCACAGAAACTCAAAGGTCTTCACTACAAACCGCCAAAAATAAAAGTGGTTTAACTTGAGGAAATTATGAAATGTATTACTATTTATAAGAAATAATAAAAAAATAAAAACCCTTTATGCAACGGTTTGACCAAAAATGTTAAAAAATGTTTTGTTATGATATGATTATATTTTTAAAAAATGTTTTAAGTTGTTAAAGTTTTATCAATTCAATTGTCTACATATGCTTTTTGAGGACTGTAACTTAATCGGTTAAAATGGAAAATGCAGAGTTTGCAGAAGTGTTAAAGGCCAGATTTCAGCCGGTTCAGGACAGTTCAGGTGTCACGATGAGGGTGTTGAAGCGTGACTCTCACGTCAGTATCAAGACTTACAGAAGAACAACAGCTTTTCTAGTTTCACGTGCCGCTGAAGGTCAAAAGCGCTTCCTCTAGTCGCGGAAGAACGTTTTGTTACTTCATTCCACACGCCAGGCGTAAACAGGGCTGAGTGGAGATCTGGGGCCCGTTCTTCATACGTCGCTTATTACATCCGAGATGAAATGTCACATCCAAGATGATATCATCGCGCTAATCAGGATCTGGCTAATTCGGTTCTTTGAACGCAGCTGTTGTTGATGATTAGTATGGCTGGATTGAGTTATCTGAGATAATTGCGTGTTCATGGGTTGGTTTAAAAGGGGCTATGTATCGATACTCGAAACCACGATCAGCAATGCAGCGATTGGCTTGGAGTTTTGATTCCTCATGTGGTTTTCTCTTTACCACCTGTGGTTTTGGTGGTTGTCAGTGTGTTATAAATGTGATTTTTTTGTATTTTTTGTACTTCGGTAGATTGGTGTATTAGCATTATATCAGTTAATGAAATACTTTTTTTTTTTTTTTTTTTACTGTAAATGTAACTTAAATCTGTAAACCGTAAACCCACCCTTTTTTGTACAGTAGTTCTGGCAAGCACAGCTGCCATTTTTGTTCGATTATTTAAAAATGTAAAAAATGTAATGTAAATTGTAAATGTAATGCATTTTAATATAATATAGACTAGTTGGATATAATGCAATATTCAAAGGTTTTTGGCACTTTGTGTTAAGTTTGTGCAGCTCTGCACTAGACGACTGAGTACATCGTATATAGTGTGTAGTACGTGATTTGGGACATAATCAGATATTTGTACAAGATAGGATACTGTAGCACTTACTTTGATCTTGAATGTTAGATCTTTATATCTTTCCCATTCTTTGAACCAAACAAATGCTTAAATGGTGGATTCATATTCTTACAATGATAAAAAAGCACAATGACAAACTCCCTTACATTGAACACAGAGCTTTTATTAACAAACATTGTGGCAACAAATTGAGAATTCATTACTATGACCTTCTTACTCTCATTTTACTAAATTGTGGCCATGTTGTACTAATTCATTCCCTCGTTTTTTGATTTAATTAAAATGAGGGAGCAAATTACTGCAACACTGTGGCCACAATTCAATAAAATGAGGGAACAAATTCTTGATTCGTGACCGCAGTTTAATAAAGCGAGGGAACAAATCATCGATTCAATAAAATGAGTGAATGAATCCTCGTTCTTGGCCACGATTCAATATAATGAAGGAACGAATCCTGGATTTGTGGCTATGATTCAATAAAATTAGTGAATGAATCCGCATTCTTGGCGGCAGTTTAATAAAACGAAGGAACGAATCCTGGATTTGTGACCGCAATTCAATAAAAAACGGAAACAAGGAAACGAACTCTCAATATATATACTTGTTCACGGCTTTATAAAAGCCTGTTTTGTAACGCAAATAAACGATCCTTGGATTCCCTCCATACTTTAAAACTTAGCTTGCGGTTCATTATTTTTAATGAAAATCTACAATAAATCAAGCAAAGACAAACCCTCTTATATTAAACATTGTTTGGCGCAGATGCTCTCAACTTAACTAAATAGTTGTTATTTCTGTATGAAAAGCAGTCGACGGAAGGTGCAGTGGGCAGGTTATGTAATGCATGAAGGAGCAGCTCTGGTGTAAACGCTGCTCTCCTGTCTCTCAGGGTTTGATCGACACCAGTCTGACGGCGTCCGTCATTAATCTGATGGCCATCGCGCTGGAGCGCCACCAGACCATCTTCACCATGCAGCTGCACAGTAAGATGACCAACCACCGGGTGGTGCTGCTGATCGTGGGCATCTGGCTCATCGCCATAGTGCTGGGTTTGGTGCCCTCTATGGGCTGGAGCTGCGTCTGCAACCTCCAGCAGTGCTCCAACATGGCGCCGCTCTACAGCCGCAGCTACCTGGTGTTCTGGGCCGTGCTCAACCTGCTGACCTTCACTGTCATGGTGGCCGTCTACACGCGCATCTTCATCTACGTGCGCCGCAAGAGCCACCGCATGAGCCAGCACACCTCGCAGGCCAAGCACAAGGAGACCGTGGTCAACCTGATGAAGACCGTCGTCATGATCCTGGGTAAGACCTCGTTTCTGACTTAGCCAATCTTATCATTTGTCTAAAGCAATACAGTGAATTTATAGCAGCTAAGGAGTGCCTAAAACCCCCTCAGCTGTTATAAAATCACTGTAAACCACGGCTTCACGGGGATTATTGCTTTTATAAAACGGATATTCCATATATGTAGACAAAGCAAATAAAATGAAATGTAGTCATAAAATAGGGCCCTATGAAATCAGTTTTATTTTTTTTTTCAAAATTCCGTTTTTTCCATTTTAATTTCCTTTTTAATGGTTAAATTGAATTTTATTAATAAAAAAGCATGTCTATCTAATTAAAATCATGAAACTTACACAATTTCACATCAGTTTATTAAAAGTTTAATAAAAATTACATGTTTAGGGCCATATTTTATTTTTTCTCACCATAGGTTTATTGCTACCAAATTCTGTTGTAGCATGTCTAATTATTTGAATGCGTAAAAACAACTTAATTTATTAAAATGTATTCTTACAATAGCCTTAGAAAATGTTTTTATTTTCCTCAGAAATTCTGTTGTGTGTTTTAATTTTACTGGATATCAAATGAAGACATAAAAGAATTTCATTTATTTATCTTTTAATTACTGAAAATTATACAAACTTTATTTTTTTTTGCAAACATTAAAATTAAAACATGGAAGAAATGTGTGATTATTCCTTAAAAAATAAAGTTTTAATAAGTTTATTAGTAGTAGAAGTAGTAGTAGTATGTACATTTACATACATATTTAATACACGCATATTTTTGCAGCTTAATATTTACAGATTCTAGTCCATATCGCGATTTGATTTGTGTAATGACCTACTTTTGATTTATTAATTCAAAATGTGACATTCCGTGACATTCCGTGTTCTTAATTTTAAAACTATAGTGTTTTTAAACTTTTGCGATTTCTATGCATTAAAATTTGTTCAGTTGTATTTATTTATGCCATTGCTAATTGATATGTTTGTTCCTGTTTTATTACTGACTGTTTACTTTAACAATTTAATGTTTGAAATTTATATTAGTCTAGTTGTTTTTGCAGTGGTATGTTTTTGTTAAAACCACAGGCAAAAGTGTAAAAAAAAAGTGTTCTATAGGCTGTTTGCTCATGTTGCAAAAGAGCACTTTGTAAAAAGACAGAATATTATGGTTGACATAAATATTTGACTTTTCATTTTACTTTTTTTATCTTATTCTAATCGATAAGATTTGGAATCGATAAGCGGAATTGATACAATTCAAACGATACCCAGCCCTACTTGTGACAGTCATAGTCATTATCATTATTTGTGCACATAGAATGTGAATTTGAGTTTTGTGTCATCACATTTAGTTCAGACGGCTACGTCACAGCTCTGATAATAAAGTTAGTTTTTTTGGGTGCTGTATAGTGTCTCAGGACTTGATGTGACACTGATAGACCCGCAGTGGTCTGGATGTGTTCAGAAAGTAAACTCCCGTCCTGTGTTTGGAGAATAGCACGCAGCAGCTGTGCGCTGAAATGCTGAAACACTGGCGGAGGAGGAAGGCCTGTCCAGACCTGCGTGTTTGCGCTATCTCTGCTCTGTAGAGACAGAGAGACGAGGGCATGTTCTGGCAGAGCCGAGCGCGCTCTCATACGGGAGTGTCGACACTGACAACATTCCTGGAAACTCCTGCTCTGCCTTGGACATGTCCCATAAACACACACACATAAGATGCTTCCTGAGGTGTCCTCGTGCTAGTGTTTAGCACTCACTATCAGCAGAGCAATTATGACTTTAATCAATCACAGCAACACGTGTTTATGGCAGAACGACACCATCACGTTTAGATTTCTAGCGAAAACGTGGAACAGACAGAGGTAAAGTTTGTCCTTCAGTTCAACGACGCACCTTTAAACAGTCACGTGATCTGTGTCACTCATTTACTTACATTTGTGTCTCCTAGAAAAGAAAAAGGAGCACCAACTGACTGACCTGCAGAAACACTTGGGTCTCTTTTATGTTATTCGTATTTATACGAACAAAAAATTCCACCTAATTTGTTTACATTTTTTCATTTAGCAGATGCAAAGCGTCTTACAGAAGAGGAACAAAAGCAATTAGTCAAGTTGTAATTCACAGCAAAATCAGCCAATCAGAGCACTTGATTTTTATTTTTATTCTTATTTCCTGTCATTTCGTAGTTAACAACCATTATTATGAGTTCCTGACTTGGTAGTTAAAAACTGTATTCATGCCAATAATGATACTTATAACCATGAGCAGAATTATTAATGTTGTAATTATTATATTTTTTTATCTACGATAATTATGATTATTGTAGTTCAGTGTTTCCCCTAGGTTTACGGCTTTTTTTTTTTTCTGGACTCCTTTTTAATGGTTAAATGACATTTTATTAATCAAAAAGCATGTCGAATTAATTAAAATCATGAAACTTAAGCAATTTAACATTAATTTATTAAAAGTTTAACAAATATTACATGTTTAGGGCCCTATGAAATGTTTTATTTTCCCAACCTTATGCTTTATTGTTACCAAATTCTGTTTTAGCATGTCTAATTATTTGAAAGCATAAAACAAGTTTCATTTATTTTTACAATAGCCTTATGATTTTTTGCTCAGAAATTTTGTGTTGTGTATTAACATTTTTAAGGCATAAAACATTCATTTAATCTTCATTATTAAGTAATGAAAATTAAACAAATGTTATTTTTTGGAAAATAAAGGTAATTTAATATTACAATTAAAACATTGAATAAATATTGTATGCTTATTCCTTAAAAATAAGGTTTTAATAATTTTAGTAGTAGTAGCCTATTACGTACATTCTACTGAACAATAGTAATATATTTCTGCCACAGTGCCCTCAAGTTAAACCAAACTTTTATTTTGACGGGTTGCCGTGAATACCTTTACATGTCTGTGTGTGTATGATATGATGATAGTTTTACTCAAATGCTGATGAAGTGACTCTCAGAGCAGTTCTGGAGATGTTGTTCATGTATTTATGTCCTCATTTAGTGAGACGGCAGATGCTAATATCACCGCAAGCGTCATGAGCATTTCAGTACGAGTAGTAAACAAAACCGCGCGTCTGCGCCATTCATTAACACAGAGACACGCAGAATCCATATTTAAACATGAATCGTTTTGCGGCTTAATATTTACAAATACTAGTGGGAGTGGGCTCACTTGTGTGTGTGTGTGCGCGTGTGCGCGCGCTTCGGGGCAGAACTCCGCTGTGCGTGATACAGAGAGCGCGACCATGTAACGTAGAGACGGAAATGACATGCCATTGTGTAAATAAGATAAATAACAAGGCTATTTGGTTTGCTTAATAAAAGAACAAGGTATAGACCTGTTCTATGGGAAAGGTAACTTTAAATGACTTCTGTTGTGATCTGGCGCTATAGAGAAAATATAATTAAATAAAATTAACTTGACCTTCAAGGGCCGCCCCCTAATATAATGGCAGGGGAAACACTGTAGTTACAGTAAACGGTAAACGGTGTTGTTATAGTTCTTGTAAAAGTTATTGTATTTTTATAATTATTGTTATAGTTATTGCTGTGGTTCTTGTAATAGTTATTACAGTTCTCGTTATAGTTAACATTATAGTTATCACTACAGTTATTGTTATAGTTAGTTATTATTTTTAGTTTAAGATGTTGTTAACGTGATCATAATTATTATAGTTATTGTCGTAATTGTTCTTGTTATAGTTGTAAGTTATCATAGTTATTGCAATAGTATTTGTATTGGTATTATAACACTGGTTACAGTTACCGTTACCGTTACCGTTATTGTATTATTTTTACAGTTGTCACTACATTCATTGTTGTAGTCATCACTAGCGTTATCATATTTATTATGATTACAGTTGTAATTGTAGTTAATTTGATCATTATAGAGAAACAACAGCAATTTGTCAAGTTGTAATTTACAGCATATTTGAACACACACAGGAATTTGTTCTTATTCTAATGTTAATGAATTTTGAGAATACTAAATGACCAACCGTTTTTCTGAATCTATGCATTCGTTAAAAAAAAAAAAAAAAGCAATTTGCATATGTTAAATTACCTTCGTTTGCATCAAACATGCCCAGCTCATCTTTATATATAAGGCTTTTCTGCACAGCCTTCCTTTTACAGCCTCTTGTCGCTCTCAGCAGATGCATGACGCTCTCTAAAGACACACTCTTGTTTTTTGTTTGTTCTCGATTCCCAGACATTTATATTCATGTGCAGATGTTCCATGCGTTCACCTCTTGGCTGTGTGTTTCTGCCGATGTCCCGCAGGTTGTTTCGTGGTGTGTTGGACGCCGGGACTGGTGCTGCTTCTCCTGGACAGTTCGTGTGAGTCCTGCGACGTCCTGACCTACGAGAAGTTCTTCCTGGTGATGGCCGAGTGCAACTCCTTCATGAACCCCATCATCTACTCCTACCGCGACAAGGACATGCGCGACACCTTCAAGCGCATCCTGTGCTTCCCGTGTTTGGGGTCGCAGCAGAAGGGCGAGCACTCGGGTGTGCGCTTCAACACCCTCGAGCAAGAGGTACTCTCAGAGAGCGACGGGACCCAGCACGACAACAGCGTCAAACCGCCGCTCAAGCGCCCGCTTTAGCAGAACTCAGCGCTGACGCTCACGTCATGCTAGCGGATGCGCAACAAATCTTATAGTCTAGCTGTTAAACAAGTGTTTGTCTGTATACTTTTGTAGTAAAGGGGCATTTTAGCGTTCAACAAGCTGTTGCTTCGCCATTTGTACAAACTCAAACACTAACACTACCTTTTATGGAAGCTTGTGTCTGCCAGAAAAGGTGATTGACACTTTTTTTCTTACAATTCTTGCAGTTCCGAGATACTTAGAATTGCTGGATATAAACAGTCGCCTTTTTATTTTTATTCTGTAGCAGAAACAAAAAACAGAATTGCAAATGCTTAATTCCGAGAAAAAGTCAGACTTGTGAGATGTAAAAAAGAATCCCAAGGAAAAAGTTCTAGAATTCTGAGAAAAAAACGTCAGAATTGTGAGATGTAAACTTAGAATTCTAGGGGAAAAAGTCGGGATTGTGAGCTGTAAACCCAGAATTCTGAGGAAAACCTCAGAATGGACTCAAATTCCGAAAGAAAAGTCAGGAATTGCGAGATGTAAACCCAGAATTCTAGGGAAAAAGTCAGGAATTGTGAGATGTAAACTTAGAATTCTAGGGGAAAAAGTCGGGATTGCGAGATGTAAACTCAGAATTCCAAGGAGAAAGTTCAGAATTGTGAGATGTAAACTTAGAATTCTAGGGGAAAAAGTCGGGATTGCGAGATGTAAACTCAGAATTCCAAGGAGAAAGTTCAGAATTGTGAGCTGTAAACACAGAATTCTGAGAAAAAAAAACGTCAGAATTGCGAGATGTAAACTTGGAATTCTAGGGAAAAAGTCGGGATTGTGAGCTGTAAACTCAGAATTCTGAGGAAAAACTCAGAATGGACTCAGATTCCGAAAGAAAAGTCAGAATTGCGAGATGTAAACCCAGAATTCCGAGAAAAAGTCAGACTTGTAAGATGTAAATTCAGAATTCTGAGAAAGAATCGCAACAGTTTTATATGTGAACTGAGAATTCGGAATTGTGTCAGAATTGCGAATTAAAAAGTCACAATTACCATTTTTTGTTTTTTATTCCGTGGTGGAAACAAGCTTCCATAGCCTCTAGTGCAAACAGAAAAGCTAATTGTCTGCATGGCTAGAAGTGCACTCGGTTTCTGACTTGGCTTGGCAGCGCAGACATAGCATCATAATTTAGTTCTGCGTCTAACTAACCAAAACTCGCATGCCTGCGTAATTAGAAACACCAGTTGCACGTTCTAATGCAGTCTTAATACAGTCGTGTCCGTCCCAGCTGGTTAGTGGCATGTAACCAGTGCTCAAGTTAAAGCAGGTACTTGTTTGTGTTTGTTGATGTGTGTGTGTGTCTGTGTGTGTCTAATTGCTGTTCTCTTGTCTGCTGCGCAGCGGAGACGGCGCGTGCTGCAGGAGTCGTGGGTTGTATGTAGATTCGCTTGCATTTAGATCCTCAATCAGACTCCATAATCACTCCGTTTACCCTGATTTGCGTCCGTTGGCACACTAACGCTCACTAACCGGTTCTCGTGAGGTTTTATCTGCGCTGCATGCACAGCTGATGGTGTCACTGAGGGTCTTTCATGATGTTTTGTTCTCTTTAAATGACCAGTTCCTGTGTGTGAATGACGCGCATGTTTGTGCATGCTCCTCTAATGTCTTTGTAATGCTGCGGTCGCGTTTCTGGCTAACAGATGTGCAGCGCTCACTGTGTGTGTGTGTGTGTGTGTGTGCACTGATCATGTAAATATTTGCAGGTTTGTCAAGAGTGGCGTGCATAAAGCATCACATCCGTGCTCTCTTTCTCACACACACACACACACACACACACACACACACACACACAGCTGGTTTTGATCCTCTAGTGGTGCTCTCGTGTAACTGCGGCACTAACTAACCAGCATGCTGCTCCGTTCCCGTGATTCCTGCATTAACTACATTTAAAATGTCCCTGGTTTTTAAAGAGGGTCTCTTTTTTAAGCTTTTATCTGTTGTGTTTTAAGATTTTTTTTATTCCTGTAATCTGTACTGAAGTCTCTCATCTGAAGTTCGTCATCTCACGATTTCAGAGTCATATTTAAGAACTTATTTTGCTTCGCTGTGTAAAATATCTACGAGCTGGACGCATGAGTTTGTGAGTTTCAGATGATGTTGATTCTGTGGTTTGATTTTTATCCTCTGTTTGTAATCACCTCCTATGGCCAATGAGACGCACGCACAAACAGATTTTGTTCTGATTGGTGGTTTATGATTATGGTTTAAAGATATGTTAATAATAATCAGGTACTCAAAGTGTCCATGTGTCTTCTCTCACTCCATCTACTGATCATTCAACACTGATAATGTCTCGTGATGTTGTACAGAAATGATTTCGCAGCGTTTTGTTGTTGACGAATAAACATGCTTGATGAAGCCGCTTCTGTCCGTCTGCTGTCTGTGCGTTTAGGACGGGGAAACATCTTCGTTTGGGACTAAATGGTTGTTCCCCCGTCCTAAAGCAGTCTGACTGACTCAGATCTGTCCCTGTAAGCAGCTCCTGTGTCCGGCTTCGCTCATAGACACACATGCACTGGGTCAGCTCTGGTTGGGTGAGATCATCCTAACTTGATTAAACTCGTGTCTAACTGGTTGACGGTTGTTTGCAGCCCCGTGTTTTCTCGGCTCTCTGTGTGTCTCAGGCTCGTAGGGCTCGCGAGGGAGACGGCGATCAGGCTAACGGCGGACAGGTCGTGCTGAAGGACGCGGAGAACATGCTGGACTCCACCGAGAGCTGAGGAACGTGAAGAAGAACCAGAAGGATCGACTCCTGCCTACTGACAGCGTGCTGCGTGCTGATTGGCCGAATGAGCTGTCAATCACTCTCTCTGCATTTATATGAGCATCAGATGACGAGACCGTGTGTGTGTTTTGCGCTGTAGTTATGAATGAGTTAGTTGTAAATATGGTTTGTATTTAATTAAAGTCTTACCGGTGGAGTTTATGCATGTTTTTTGTTTTATTTAAAAACCTATGACTGATGTCAGATTAAAGACAAACATAAATTTTTTTTTTTGCGTTTTTTTTTATGATACCAACATTTCAGCCGCCTAATACTGATGAAATTTCAGCATTTTGGAAACCACAGTGAAAACCAACATGCAGATGCGTTTCTTTATTCAATATGTTAAAATTAAAGTCAATTAAAACTGCATTGTGTAGTCTTTGCATATTTCAAGTTTTAATTTTTCCTTTTTTAAACGCTGTTAATGATTGTTGTGCATTGATTGCTGTTGCATTACTGGATCTGCATGGAGTTAAACATTTGTTTGTCAAAATTTCATTGAAATATTTAAATATTTTAACTTTTATGCTTAACCGGATGTGATAGGCCTACGTGTAAAATGTCTGGTTATGAAATGACTTCTGACATAATTATTTATATTAATTTACATTGAACGTCCCTAGAAAACCGACCATGCTTGCTTGGTGTTCCTTTGTTGTGTGTAGTAATTTTACCGCCTTTTTAGTTTTAACGTGCGCCGCGGCCATTTTGTAATTTGAAAGCGAGCGGTTTCTGCATTCGCTTCAAGTTATTTAGCTGTTCAAAAACAGTCAGTTAAACCGCTTGATATTACAAACTGGTATTTCTCATCACGTTCATTTATTCTGGTAAGTAACGCACACTGGTTTGTAGCACAAACCGTTTTAGAATTTACTGTATTTCTAGTTATTCTTCTAACGTTGTTTATTTACCTATATGCTAATGCATAATGCCAGTAGTTTCCGCGATCGGCGGAAACGCGACAGACAAACTGACTTTGTTTAAATGAATATCTCACCGCTGGGCATTTCCACCGTCAGGATTCTGCTGTCTAACATGAGTTTTATTTCCGTGTTATTAGGATGATCTGTGGGAGGACGCCTCGGTAATGCAGGGTTGTGTTCTTTTATTCAGAATAATTAATTCATATGGCATCATTCAGATCAGATATAATTGAGACGAGTCAAACCCAAACACCTCTGAACATTCGTTATTAAATGATACAATGCAGTCCGTAATTAACCAGGTTGAGCAGGTTCGTCCGGCGCTCCTCGGGATCTGGGTGGAGAAGTTTACCCGCTTTAACAGACAGAAGATGAACATTGTGTCTCTCACACACATACACAGACGCACACACTCACTTACACACACACAAACACTCACACAGACTCACACACAGACACGCACACACACACACACAAACACTCACACAGACTCACACACAGACACGCACACACATACACACTCACACACACACACACGTTTGTTTTTGTGAAAAGTGGGGACATCCCATAGGCGTAATGGTTTTTATACTGTACAGACCGTATATTCTATTGCCCTACACCAACCCTACCCCTAAACCTACCCCTCACAGGAAACTTTGTGCTATTTCAGATTTTCAATACACTCCATTCTGTGTGATTTATAAGCGTTTTGAAAAGTGGGGACATGGGGTAATGTCCTGAAAAGTCACCTTCTCCTTGTAATTCCTGTCATACTCATGTTATTATACAAATTTATGTCCTCATTTGTCACAAAAACGCGCACACTCAAACACACACAAACACTCATACTCACACACACACACACACACACACTCACTCACACACACACACTCAGACACATACTCACACACACACACTCACTCACACACACACACTCAGACACATACTCACACACACACACTCACTCACACACACACACTCAGACACATACTCACACACACACACTCACTCACACACACACACTCAGACACATACTCACACAAACACACTCACACACACACACACACACACATACACACACACTCATACTCACTCACACACACACACACACACCGTCGTGTCATTCAAACCTGTGTGACTTTCTTCTGTGGAACTCAAAAGCAGATGAATGCCACATTGGGGGGAATAAAAATAAAAGCTTTGGTAGATTATAATTATGACATAAAAAGTAGAAATGATGAGAGAAACAGTCATTATTGACGAAAGTTGAAATAGACAAACATAACTATGACAGTCGTTGAAGGCCATAATTATGAGTTATGTCAATTAAAATTATATAACTATGTTTAGTCAACTATGACTGGTTATCTTTTAATTTTGACTTTTTATTTCATAATTATGAATTAGTATCCCATTTTCAACTTTGTCATAATTATTACATGACATAAGTCCAAATAAAATAAATGACTTTTTAATAGTGTAATTAGGCTATGACTTAGTGTCTCATAACTTTATCATTTTATGTTATAATTATGATTTACCATGTGATTTTTTTTTTTGCTTATGTGGTGTAAACAGACTTATTCAAAGCATCATATGACTGACTTGTTGCATTGGTCATATTTTTACAATATTTTGTGTCCTTTTTCTAAATTTGACAGCCATTGCTGTACTTGTATGGAAACTGTTTTTGTTTCACAGAAGTCAGGCAGTTTTTGGATTGAGTGAATGAAGACTGAATGAGTCTAATATAACTTGAACTCTCGTATAAACCCAAGTTATCAGCGATTACATGCTCACAGTTATTAATGTAGTGTCTGTAATAGAGTGATTTAAAGCGGTGAAGCACGAGTTACTCAACACCGCTGGAAGTTTACCACGCTTTTCACAGCAGAACATCACACCCACATCCAAGAGATCATGAAAAACCCTTTCACTGATGCCCCGCCCACAGTGAATCTCATTGGTCCAAAGCCAAACATTCATCTCAGGTTGAGTCTTTACTTCCAGTTCATGGAGAATCTCTTGTGCAGCGCTGCCCGCCTCCTCCTGTTGCCTAGCAACAGTCTCTTTGGAGACGGGGATGCGCTTCTGCTGTCGCCGAGCAACAGCGTCAGCAAGGATCTCTTCTTCTTCTTCTTCTGCGGGGAGATCGCCCTCTTGAGTCCTGTCCAGGACGCGACGGATCTGACGTCACTGGATCCAAACAGAGTCCTGGAGGAGGATCCGCCCATCCCTGTCTGGTTACACAATACTTCATTTGAGAGTAAACATGCATATAAGTGCATACAGCTCAGAGTCATTCATCAGTAAAACCAGCAGCGTTTCTTTACCGTGTGAGAAGCGTCCTGTAAAGTCTGTCCCGGTGTTTGTGAGTCAGATTCCCTCAGGAGATGATGAGTGACTCTAAACCAGATCAGCGAGACCCCAGCGAGTCACAGACAGAGATAGTGAATCTGCACTCCGGTAATCAGCAGAGTAACGACAGGCGATCAGAGATGAGCGTGAGCCTGTTTTATTTAATCTGAACCGGTTCTTCTGCATTCACTCGTCACGTGACGAGCTGCTGGTTCGGTGACAATCCCTGCGTTCCATTCGGAAGGACTCCCTAAAGGTCCCTAATCCCTAATCCAGGGGTTCTCAAAGTCTACATTCAAAGGTCCAAATCTGAATTTTCATCAGTGTCAAAGGTCCGGACCAGAATAATTGGTTATTACAAAATTTGTTTTTAATAAACATACATAACATGCAAAACAAATAAACATTAAAATCAAGTGCAAAAGTGTAATATCTCTTTGGTTTTGAGACTTTAGTCTTTGCAACTTCAGGGATCTTATCTATGCACAATCAGCTTGTAACACTTCAAAGAGAAAGGAAAACTTGAAATCGCATCATATGACCCCTTTAAAAACTAAACATATGATTTACAAGTTTAACGTGTTTATCAAAGTAGGAAATAATTAGTGTTCTTGAAATACGAAATGGAGGCGGGTCCGGACTGAATTCCCCCCGGAGCGAGAGCTTCGAAGTGTTGAAGGGTGTAGGGGACCAAACAACTGTTTCTGGAAGTGCCCTTCTGCGTCGTCATCTCGTGCCCACACGGAGCCACCGTCATCATGTAAAGGATCATGGGAGCCCGAAGTGTCCATCAGTTGTACTCTTCGGTGACAATCCCTGCGTTCCATTCGGAAGGACTCCCTAAAGGTCCCTAATCCCTAATCCAGGGGTTCTCAAAGTCTACATTCAAAGGTCCAAATCTGAATTTTCATCAGTGTCAAAGGTCCGGACCAGAATAATTGGTTATTACAAAATTTGTTTTTAATAAACATACATAACATGCAAAACAAATAAACATTAAAATCAAGTGCAAAAGTGTCAGCAATAGAGGTCGACCGATAAGGCCGGTGCCGATATTTAGAAATCAGGGCAGCCAATGGCCGATATATGATGCTATCAGCCAATGGCCGATTTTTTTCCCTTTATCTCATAAAAGCGAGTTTGAGTAAATGATTATTGCAGGGCACAAGATGGTAGTAGCCTAATTCATAGTAATAATACATGGCTCAAAGCACCTTCTCAAAACAGTTCTGAAGCATGCTTTTAGTTTATGTTTGCTGACAGACACCAGTGTTTCCCACATACTGCAAATGCAAATTCATTCTTTGACAGCAGGAGGCGCTGTTGGAGCGGGAGATATAGCGGTTTCCACGGTAACGGCTGTAATCTAATATAAAACGCCAGGAAAGACAAAATGAAAATGACATCAAAGCTTTTCTGAAGACGGTCGGTTCTTTTCAATTATACATTCATATAAAAACACCCGCGCTGCAATTTAATTTTGAAACGTGCAGTGCTCCGTTTATTCAAGGAAGTAGAATCCTTTTGGAAAATCTATTTGTGGCGGTCAGTTTTGATTTTGCGACGGGCCTATATATATATAATTTAAAGAAGAAACCAAACCAATGTATAATTGACATTTGAGGCTTAACGCTATACAAAAGCAATAAACGTTTTTCAGGCAGAATTGTTTATATAATAATATGGCATGCAGTTGCTTCAATGGTAACAATGGTATAAATCTATTCAAAACATCATTCAATGTAAATTGTGATAATTGCAATTAATAATCGCAATTCCAATTCCAAGGGAATAATCAACAATTATGATTTTTGTCATAATTGTGCAGCCCTACTGAAGTACATACATTGAGAACCCCTGGTCTAGAGTCTTGTGTCTCCAAAGTCTACATTCAAAGGTCCGGACCAGAACAATTGGTTATTACAAAACTTGTTTTTAATAAATATACATAACATGCATAACAAATAAACATTAATTTTTTGAAAAAAATAAAGTGCAAAAGTGGCAAAACAATTAATTTAAGTGTCAGCAATAGAGGTCGACCGATAACGGTTTTTCTCTGGCTGATGCTGATGCCGATATTTAGAAATCAGGGCAGCCGATAGCCGATATATGATGCAGATTTTTTGGCCGATTTTTTTCCCTTTATCTCATAAAAGCGAGTTTGAGTAAATGATTATTGCAGGGCACAAGATGGTAATAGTAGTAGTGGTAGCCTAATTCAGAGTAATAATACATGGTGCTCAAAGCACCCTCTCAAAACAGTTCTGAAGCATGCTTTTAGTTTATGTTTGCTGACAGACACCAGTGTTTCCCACATACTGCAAATGCAAATTCATTCTTTGACAGCAGGAGGCGCTGTTGGAGCGGGAGATATAGCGGTTTCCACGGTAACAGCTGTAATCTAATATAAAACGCCAGGAAAGACGAAATGAAAATGACATCAAAGCTTTTCTGAAGACGGTCGGTTCTTTTCAATTATACATTCATATAAAAACACCCGCGCTGCAATTTAATTTTGAAACGTGCAGTGCTCCGTTTATTCAACGAAGTAGAATCCTTTTGGAAAATCTATGACGAGCCGCCACAAATGATTTCGTGACGGGCCGCCACAAATATCCTTCATGCCGAAGGGCGCTTTGAAGTAGCCATTTTGAGCTCTTCGGTTTGGAATGACCCTTCAATATGGCGGCCATGATTGTTTTCACTCCGAAGTGCCCTTCGGAGGGCGATGTATCTCGTTTGGAGCGCACCGAACCACAGCGAGCCCTCAGATCCTGCGAGATGGAAATGATGCCTAGATCTGCTGTGATTCTGATCTACAGGATCTGCTGCTGTATTTCTTCACGGCTGGATTTACTGGGGTTTCACTTTTAATGCAAGGCCCTCTAAACAAGTGAGGGACAACCTTCCTAAAGCTTATAGTCAGCTAAAGTACATTATATATAATGCATCACATTAATTTACCAAGTTAATCAATTTATTTATTTGAACTAACAAACAAGATTTAAATAAAAATGTTTGTTACCAAGCCGCTTCACAGAACATGTATATAAAATCCTCACAGAAAGATCTAACAAATCCATCTGAAACACACATATAATAAAATAGTATTTTATTTGTAATTGTTATAAACAATAACTGTGAATTAAAGAGTATAATCCAAATGAATGTATGAGCAGTTATGAATTGGCCTACAGCCAGACGGTATAAACTGCTGATGAGCGCCTGTAATGCAGCTCTACATCGAGTCCAGCTCTGCTCATCCTCCCGTGTTTTAGTCAGTGTGAGGAGACATCTCTGTCTTTCAGTATTTATTTCTTTCCTTCCTTCCGTTCTTTCGTTCTCTCTTTATTGAAAGAAAGAAGGTAGGTAGGAAAGAAAGAAAAGGTAGGTACCTTCTTTCTTTCTTTGTCTTTTTTCCTTCTTTCCTTCTGTCTTGGCTCCGCCCATCCTGACGCGTGATTGGACGGCCGCGGTGTGATTGACAGCTCCAGCGGACACCTGACGCTCGGGGGACGCTCCGCGGCGCGTTCGGTGACGGATCATCGCGCTCTCCGGTGTCACACCGCACAATGACGCCGTAGGAAGCGCCTTTTCGCCCGTTATTTCATTGTTCCTCTCGCGTCCGCTTGGTGATGGACGCGTCCGCGGCGAAGAGGGGCGCGCCGATGCCGGACATCTGCCCGCTGGACCGGTACGACCCCGCCCGCGCCAAGACCCGCGCCGGTGTGCGCTGGCTGCTCGACCGGAGCCGCGGACCTGAAGGTAAACCTCTGCAGCATCAGCACCACTCTCCGCATCCGCGCGCTGCCGCAGAGACGGAGGAGTGTGTGTGTGAGCGTCAGTGTTGGAGATGAGCGCGTGTACCGGAGCGCAGGGCGTCACCGCGGCTGTGTGAGATCCAGTGATTCAGCAGCTGGTCGTATAGCAGCGATGAAGCAGCTCCAACACACTAATAGCACACTATCTCCACCAACCCCGAATATTAACACACGCACACACACACACACAGGCGAGGATGCCTTTGTTTTTGCGCTCAGGAGCCTCGCTGGAGTTTCAGATGGAGCGTCTGAAGAGGCCCGGAGCCTTTTGTGTCCCAAAAGCGTTTTTCGTTCAGATAATGTCTTTGATTGGCAATAGTCCCATCGTGACATCTCAAATATTTGGGTCATTCCACCGAATGGGTGCCATTTGCTTCCAAAACGCTTCAAAAAAAAAAAAAAACCATTTTTTTTTTAAAGACTGAATCTAGTAATACGAATATTTAATTATTGAAAATCTGTCACAAATAATGCCTTTTGAGTTTTTCTGTGGATGTTGTTTGCTTTCAGTGCAGGTCACACTCCACTGGCACAGGACAGAAATGGCAAGAAGCCTACATTTTCTGTCATACTTGCAGGAATGTAATATAAGACAACAATGCAGGAACAAAAACATTGTGTCAGTGTGGATAGAAGGCCAAAATATAGATTAAAAAAAGATGCATTTTCAAATGTATCTAGATTAATATGGATGAAGCCTAATATTTACATTAATAAATCAGATGACTACTCAGTCCTGTTACTCAGTTAATATATATGAGTAACAGGACTGAATCAGGATTGAGATTTTAGGATAAAATTAGCAAATACATATAAAATAGCCTCATGGACTACATGCTTTTCATGCATATCTGTACATATAAAGTCCTGGAGACAGAAATGTCACCCATACGGTGAATGACCTATATATATATAAAACATCACAGGATATATATATATCTATCTTAATGTCTTAATAATACCTGTTATTATATGTTGCTCTTATATGTTATTATATGGCCCTACAAACTTTTTCTCCACCCCCCCTTTAATACATGGAAGAAAAATTGTGTGAATATTCTTTTAAAACATTTTTTAATAGGCTAATAATTGTATTATTTTTTTCTTGTATTAATTGTATTATTAATCTGGTTGTAATATTTATTTTTATCATTTAATAGTTTTATTTAAATGTGATAAAAATGGAATATTTAAAGATGTACATTATACTGTACAAAAGTAATACAAGAGTAATATATTTCTGTTACATGTTAAACCGTACTGTTATTTTGACAGGTTGCCATGAAGTTTCTGTGTGTATACAGTATGATGATGCTAGTTTTCTCAAATGAAACGGTGAAATTCTCATGAAGTGACTCTCACAGCAGCTCTGGAGATTAAGTGTTTGTTCATGCCGTCATATAGTGAGACGCAGAGGCCGGAAATCACAGCGAGCGTCACGCGTGCTTCAGTATTTGCATAGTAAACAAAACCGCGTTTACGCC